CCTCCATACGACTCTTTCTGTTTATCTTTTTGTTTGGAGGATTGTTGAAATTTTGTCGCTTTACTTTTAATGTTAATTCCCTGGCGGTTACGCGCGTATGCCACATTTCGTGGGCATATGTACATACGTGTGTAGGGACACACATTAATATCCCTGCAGGGAAAAATGCTGCTTGATAACTAACTAGAATCCAATTGGCTAGCATTTTCGCACTACTAGTTCATCTTTCATGTATTGGATGAGTGCATAAGTTCGTGCCCGATTTCAAGTGCAAACTAAAATTGAAATTTTTTGAAGAAAGCGCTTTTATTAATCAATTATGTATTCGCCATCATGTTCGGCAATCCACTCCCAACGTTCAACCAATTTACGGATGCCTGATTCATAGAAATCGCGCGGTTTCTCGTTGAAAAAGGTGTCAAGGTGGTTTTTGACGTCTTCCACATTTTTAAATTTTTTTCCATTCAAATTGTTCTGCAGCGATCGAAACAAATGATAATCAGAAGGTGCAATGTCGGGTGAATATGGGGGATGCGGCATGATTTCCCAATTCATCTCCTTCAGTTTGGCCAGGGTCGGTTTTGCAACATGTGGCCTGGCGTTGTCATGATGGAAAAGAACTCCTTTGCGATTGGCCAAAATCGGACGTTTTTCATCAATTGCTTTCTTCAATTCGACCAATTGCTGACAATACTTGTTGGCAGTGATCGTTTCTCCAGCTGGCAAGAGCTCAAAATAGATCACGCCTCGGATATCCCACCAAATGCACAGCAGTACCTTCATCGGATGCAATCCACCTTTCGACATCGGTTCCGCCCCTTCGTGTGCCTGTTTCCATGTTCTTTTGCGTTGAACATTGTTGTACAGGATCCATTTTTCATCACCAGTCACGAGCCGATCCAAAAAAGGTTCGTTTTTGATCCGTCGAAGCAAAGAAATTGCTGTTGACATACGGTCCACTTTGTTTTTTTCACTCAACTGATGTGGCACCCATGTATCGAGCTTCAAAGTGTACCCAACCTTTTTTAAACGACGAAACGCAGTTGATTTGTTGACGTTCAATTCACTGGCAACCTCTTCCGTCGAAATACGTGAGTTATTCGCAACTAAAGTCCTTAGAACATCGTCATCAAGCTCAGAAGGCCGTCCACTGCGAGGTTGATCTTCGAGGTTAAAATCTCCAGAACGAAATTTCGCGAACCATTTCTTTACTGTGCGGAGTGCTGGAGCACGGTCCAAATAAACTTCGCGAATATCTTTAGTTGCAGCGCCTACTGTTTTTCCTTTGCGGAATTCGTATAACATAATATGACGCATATGATCTTTTTCGTTGTCCATCTTCCATGCGTCTTTTCACTAAGCAACTCAAATCAAAATGAAGTTATTTTATGCTTGATTTACAGTTCGGACTGTCACCTTTCCAACGATATATAATATGTATATATTTCTTTCACGAGCGCCACTCTCAAACGATTCGAACGGCATCCAGCGGAATCGGGGACGAACTTATGCCCTCATCCAATATTTCCCATTTAAGCGTCTATTATTTTTAACAGTGTTTTGTCCTACGAACTATACATCAGCTTTATACTAGTTAAATACTAGGTCATGTTGAACTTTTATTTTACCAAAAAAAAAAACAAAAATTAGTTTGCCTGCAACGAATTTCGAGCCGAGAATTTTAGTGATAATCTATAATTCACCACACGCCTTTGGTGACGATGAAGCAACGGACTTCATTTTGAAAACTTCGTCAGAGAGTAACGGAGAATAAATATCAGCCATGGATTACTAGATGTAACAACAGCGCACGATGGTGGAAATTACTCTTATTCTCATTACTGGTGAACTGCTATGCAAGTAAGCAGCGGTAAGTGGTTCATCAGGATTTCAAATACTAGTATTTAACTAGAACTTCCGAAGGCTAGTCTACGTTCTCCCCGCTGGGATATACATCGAGTATGTTTTAACGAAGGAGGAGTGTATGAATGCAAGTGCAGATTTTTATTCTCAATTCTGCAACATTTTCAGCGATGTGTACAATACTTATTTGAAACGGAACTATATCAGCCATTTACTAATGAATTTAAGCTTCTTCCACAAAGTTTTCACTCTTTCCCCTTTGGTTGAACACATTATAATGAGCTTAGAAAACATATCCTTATCAAAATAAAATCTCCGATCCTGAATATTTTGCTTATTTTGGAAATCCCTTCAACGAAAAAAAGCAAATCTGACCAAATCACCTAAATTATAAGTTTTCCAAAAGAAGACTTGTTACGACAAGGATTGCCACACCGCAAGGGAGAATAAAATATATTGACCTAGAAACGAACGCAGGATTATGAAATACTTTAGAAACTGGCCAAAAAGAGTAAGGCTCGAAAATTCTACAAAAAGTTGCGCTGACTTACAAAAGATTTCAAAATTTGAACATAATCATGTAGAACCCAATACCGATTGATGTCTAGAGTATACAGAATTTGTGAAGGGATCACTTCTCCAGCCAAGCGACCGCAATAACTAGTTAGTTTTAGTCGTGTGTAATGCCATTTGAAAGGCCAGAGCTCGAGTGCTGTTTTAACCAACTTACAAATTATCGAACATTTATTTTTCAATTGCGATCGCCCCTCAATATTTCTTCATTAAATTGTAGACAATTTTGAGAATGGCAATAATAACATAATGGCATGCCTCTCTCATAGAAATCCTTGTCCTTATTGGCGAAAAATTCCTCTCGACTTCTCCTGAGGCTGATACATAAGAACCTTTACTTTAGGACCTTCTGAACCATTGATGCGTATGGTCTGACGTTGTTGCGGATGAAAAAAAATTCCCCTCCTGTTGAACACTTCTTCGCGATTTCTTCCATCAGACGGTCCAATTGCTGACAGTACTGGTCCGAATTGAAAGTTTGCTCGTATGAGAGCAGTTCCTAGCGTATAATTCCTTACCAATCCCACCAAACACACAACGAACTTTGGCTTGGAGACTGTTTGTGCCGGCTCACTGCCTTGAACCTAGCCCGCTTTCATTTGACGTTGCTGTAAGTAATCTTCTTTTTATTACCACTCATCACACTCTACAGAAATGAGACGATTCTTATATGATTCAGAAGCATCTTTTACATCGAAATTACCGGAACGAAACCGCCGAAACCGTGATTGCGTATGATTGACTATTACATCATTAAGGGGCACACCTAGTGTAATGACCTAAAAAAAAGGTGATTTTTGGGAATTCTCATTAAAAAAATACTTTGTCAATTATTTCAAAATTTTAAGAATATATTTATACATGTTTCAAGAACATACAGTGAAATTTTTGAAAAAAAAAATTTAATATTTTTTTTAAGTTATAGTCGATCTCCAACGGCGCGAAAAAAATGGTTCCTCACTGCTGCAGTAATTCCGGCCTTCTCCGTGGATGAAATATAAAAAAAAATTTCTACCAAATAATATTATATGTACAATGAGCTTCGATAAAAAGAAATTAAAAATTGACAATATGGCAGTGTTTAAAAAAAAAATAATCGAATTTTACCAAAAATTGTGGTCGTTTTTGGCCTGCTAAAATTCGATTTTTTGATCAGATCAAAATTCGATAGGTCATTGTACGGAGATCTATATATAGAATTCGATTGTAATCGGATCATTTGTGTTTGAGTAATCACTGCAGCAAATTCGGAAAATGCTGTTTCGAGAAAAACGCGTTTAAAGATAAAATGATCGTTTTCACTCGTGGCTAATGAGACTCTCTAGCTGCCGAGCGGCTTTAAAGAGCTTAAATTGCTACAACTCAAAAACTATTTGAGATATCGATTTGAAATTTTAAAATGTTATTTTTAAAGGTGTGATCTACCGAAATATAAAAAAATCGATTTTTTTGCTATTTCACACTAGGTGTGCCCCTTAAATCCATCTTTTAAAAAAAAAACACCGATTCTCCAATTGAAGACTCGCCATTACTCGACTATGAAGGACTTCGAATAACTATTGCTCGCCTTAAGGATAACTAAGTAGCTGGGGCTGGTGGTTTATCTTCAGAACTATTGAAACATGGTGGCAGGAGTAAGAGTGTATCGGCTTCTTTGTAAAATATGGTGCGAAAAAAGAAAGATAAAACCTCGATAATTTTAGCCTTAATTTTAATGACGATATTAATCAGGTGAGCAGCAGTATCTTACTAATCAGATAAGACTTTAGTCAACGCTTGAACCGTATATCTTGCTTACAGTATTTTTCACCTGAGCAGCTTATGTTTCCAGCATGTATGACGGGGAGACAAGATCGGAAACCAGTAATAAATCTAACAAATGTAACTTCATAACCCCGTTACAACCCACTTCAGATTTTTTTCGCTTTTTTTTTTTGATATTTTCTATTTTATTATGATAATGGCGATCGCAATAGCCGAACGGTTAACTATCATACAGTAGGTCATTGATTCGTCTCCTAGCCCGATTCACATCCAAAATTTTATAGATAATTTATTTAAACAAATTAAACAGTCGCCCCTCGCCTCAAAATGTCTAGTTCTCCGAGTATATTTCATACATGAAATAAAAGCTCATCATAAAAATCGATCAACTTTTCAGAGGCGACTTGGAATAAAATGTAGGTCCCTCCATTTGTTGGAAAAACGTCAAACCGCAAAACCACGAATCGGAGGAGGAGCTCGGCGGAAAATCGTTTTCAGCGGTTAAAAAGCACCAAATGCATATACAGACATATATGTATATACAATACCATAATCATATTAGAAACATGCTTACAATTATTGACAAAAAATTACCCTCCCCATGTCAGCAGGTATTGTTCAACTAACTCAGCTACAGCGCGCTCTCTCTTTCGTACTTTATTAAAGCCTCTCTGTGTTCTCAAGCTGCTAATTCGCGAATGATTTTTGAGTATAACAATAAAGTTACACTTGTATGTACATACATGTGATTATTGCTTAAAATATGAATACTTTTAAGCTCAAGAACTCACACAAGACACACAAGCACAGAAATCACAAAAAGAGCGGAAATAAATATTTAGTGATACCTACAATCAGATTGGTTTGGAACAACAAAGTGCTTAGAACGAGGTCGTAGGATAGTCGACAGGTGTTTATTTTTGTAAAAATTTCTGTGTTCTTATGGGCAGTTTTTGTTTACACTGAAAGTCACATAAGTTGAAAAATGCATATTATACTCAATATACTATGCACAATCGTATTTACTTTGCTCTCAGTCAAATGCGGTCAAATTGTCGGTAAGCACTCAATTGTTATACAAGCGTACGTAATTATATATATTTATATATTATATATTGAGTGTCGCTCATTTACTACAATAATGTCATAACTCAAAAAAAAAGATTTTTTGAGAAGAGATTTTTATATCTAAAGGGTGTCCTAAAAATTAACGCAAGATTGGAATTAAATATTTGAATTATAAGCAGAGAAACACAGATCTTTGATAAGTATACTCGTATGCTGTGTAAAGATTCTTGAAATTTGCAATTCTTGCCAATGACGCTGAATTTAGTGAGGCTCACGGATTGCTATTGATATTCTCACACACTCCTTCGATATGGTCATTTGAATGAATTTTTCACTCAATATCTTCATAGCTGACGAAGTTCAACTGTAAACTTTCGAACTACGGCCGCCAAGCTTTCATAATTTTTGAAATATTGTTCTGTAGTGTAACGCTCCATTTTTACTAAGCCTTAACGCGGCCGCGGTAGCCGAGTAGTTAGCATTACGTACTGCCTGTCGGAAGGCTGGGGATCTAATCTTAGTGTCGTACTAACATCAAAAAAAAACTTACAGAAAATTAATTTCAATAAAAAATTAAGTTAAATTTTTCAATTGCGGTCGCCCCTCTGTAGGGAATGGCAACTACTCGAAGTGTATTTCTGACATGAAATAAAGCGCTCCATAAATAAACCATCAGCCGTTCGGAGGCGGCTTTGTATAAACTATTGGAAAAACATTAGGATGTAAAACCACAAACTGGAGCAAGAGCTCGGCCAAAAATCGCTTCAGCGGTTACAAAGCTCTAATTATATATTATAAATATAAATGCAAGTTGTCGATTTGTTTCTTTTTTACGGTTGTCAACGCCTTACTACATAAATGGAGGCAAATCGAAACCTTGCATTAATCTTGGAACACCCTGTATAATTCAAATGAATATTATTTTGAAAAAAACGTGAGATGAATTTCTGTATACTTAACTCGAAAGTTTTTATTTATTGAGTTATGTCATTTTTGCAATAAAATAACGATATGTTTATGCACTTGTACGTGCAATAGAAGATTTAAGTATAAACTCAATGTTCCCTGCTGGAAATTTAGTAAATAAAAAAATTTAACGTATCGTCGATCACCAATCGACTTATCAGTCTAATCGATAAAATCGAAACAATGCAGGATTACGACAAGGCGCTTATATTCTGAATGCCTGTAATAATCTGAATTTATTTCTAAAATGAGGACTAAGTCTTCTAGTAAATTCAAAAATATACTTATGGAAAAAAATAATGAGAAATAAGTGCTGTTTTTGACCACTTTCGTGAATTTATCACATATATTACAAAATGCAAAATTATATTTTCATAGTTTGCAATACCAATAGAATACTTAGTTCTTAGAAGCCTCATTGGCGTTCCGATCGGACCACTTCTGATAAATTACTAGGACCGGAGCATACAAGGCCAAGCAATTTAAGAGATGATGTGGTGACTGATGGTGACGATAAAACTTCTCCAACCCGTTTAAGTGCCGTGATAATCAAACTTTCGGAGATTACTAACCCGAATAACCAATCGAGAACGCTGAAACAGACTTTTCATTACCCCATTATGTTAATTAAGAACTGTCAAAGTAGATGCAATAGCTCCTTGGCAAAAATTTAGTCCGATGAGTGCTGACCTGAGAATTGGAATCTAAATGTAACCAAACCACGAAAAGTTGCAGTCCATAAGGTGTGCCAATTAATGGGAGATTACGTATTTTCTTCAACGTCGCATATAAAACCATATCGAGCGTACTACCTTGAAAGATCAATCAATCGATGGATAAAATAATACCAGCTATAGAACCAAAAAGAGATTGTACAATCTCTAGTATTATTGACATTAACGATATCACGCTGTTCCTTGTGCGACAGTCAGAAACCATCAACAACAAACGATTTATGGATATTTGCGCCTTGACAACCGCAAATGACGCAGACGATGTAGCGATGAACTCTACATCGGTGGAAACTGAAGATGAGGAAGTCCACAACTCTGCTAGAAAAATGAGGAAGAAGCGTGCCAGGTGTCGCGAAAGTTATATCAAAGCCAATGAAGATGAAGAAAATTAGCAAATTGTTGGAGAAGATTTTTTTTAGGTTAATGGATAAACCACAGTACGCAATGCTGGGCTACTCCGCGTTATTAGAAAACAAAAATATTAGAGTTTTTATTTAAGAATATTTTTCTGCAGTTCAATTGTTGATACATACTTATTATTGTTTTTTTATATTTGTATCCAATCGTGCAGCTGTTGACTGTAACAACGCAATGGGCGAATGTAAAGAGCTTCAACATTGTCCTTCTCTCTATAATCAACTGGGATCTACCGATATCAAGTCTATTAAATTTTGTGATGGAATCAAGGGTATTGTTTGCTGTCCAAGAACAGAGTTCGTTATAGATTCTCGATTCGGTGACATCGATACAACAACATACGCTGAAAAGGGTAAAATAATAATGCTTAATACGAGGGGATTAACAAAAGTTCGGCCAGTTGTTACCTTTCAATTGGTTTTTATTAAATCTAAAAATTTAAATCTTTCCCAATTACTTTATTAGTCTCCCTTTCAAATTTTGGAACGAGCGGCTAAAAAGGCGGCGAGAAAGCGGTAGATAGCTGAGGATAGATCAGACAAAATCCACCACCAACGCAAACAGAAAATCGCCATATTATTCTCTTCGGATTTCGCCGTAATTTACAGCCAATACAAATATTCAGTGAAAGCCAAATTGCAAATGGAACGATTCCATACCGGACATTTTTCCGAGGAGGACGAGACACGAGAATGTTGAACAAAATCTTCTACTGATGGCGTCATTGTAGCTCTGGTGAAATCCAAAATTGGCGAACACAATAAAGGATTGCTAATGAATTGGACTTGAATGCCATGGCTCTATTGGGAATATTAATATCAGCAGTCCATGGTATGGAGCCCAACATGAGCAAATCAGCAGCAAAAGTAATGTCAGTTCACTTCACCGGAACTAAAATCGTAGCTGCTATTCAACTGGAAAAGGTCAGACGGTAACTGAAATACGGTGCACCGAAGAGTGCTTACCAAAAGTTTTAAAAAAAATTGTGTGGAAAACAGGAAGAAAGCGGATTTGCGGCGCTACATTTTAAATCAAGACAACGCGCCATCCCACACTGCTGAACTAACGTGTAGATTTATTTCGATCTCTGGGATCGAAAAATTACGTCCAGCGTCATATTCCCCGGATACTACACCTTATGACAGAGGTTACAGGAGCCACTCAGTCGTGTTCGGTAGGTGTGGTTAATAAGATCAGTTGCTAATTGGCAAGGTCTTTAGTACCAACGAGTAGATAATTAATGCTTTTAATGCTGAACTTGATAAGCTTAAAAAGCAAGTTTTTGAAGACTGTTTGCAGTAGTAGAGCTATTGGCTTTAGAAATACATTGAAATCAACGGCGATGATGTAGAGAAGTTAAAAAAGGACAAAAATTACGGATACACACAAAAATATTATTTTGTTTTCTAGTCAACTTACCGAACTTTTGTTAATCAATACATATATGTAGTTATGTATGTTTAAATGTATAATATAACGTTTTTAAAACACAGCTTGTTTGGAATATAAAAAATTTGCACCTACCTATTGCCCACAAGCCTTAATCTATGGCGGCGAAAAAGCCAAGCCAAAAGAATTTCCGTCGATTGCACTTCTGGGATCGAAGGATGACAACAGTGGCGAGATCGATTGGTATTGTGCGGGTACTTTAATAAGTAGACGTTTCGTTGTTACAGCGGCACATTGTTTTCGAATGTAAGTAAGTAATTTCATACATGGAAGGCTAATTGCTTCAAGTCAACTCGTCTCAGGCTGTATTACTTAAGATTAGAATAAATCGATAGGAAAAAAGATCAGCCTTTACAGGGGGTACGGGAGCCATTCAGTCGTGTTCGATATGTGTGTTTAACAAGCTCAGTTGCTAATTGGCATTTGGGACATGTAGATACACTGAACCACTTTAAGTAAAGTAGGCTGACTTAGTTTACAACTTCTAAGCGGAAATAGTAGGAAAGAAAATTACCAGTGGAGCGCGGCAAAAACTACTACCGAAGAATAGCAAGTAGCATATACTCTGATTGACGGACTGATGTTATTGTATGTTAACTCCGCTTAGGGACAGGTTTAAAATCAATCTAAGTCACCGAGGTCATCTAACGGAAGGTCCAGAAAACGTGCTGTTCCGACGGGAACGGAACAGTGGGAGAGGTTGATTAGATGTGTCGGCTTAAAGTGGCATGTGAGGAGGTGGTTAGTGTCGTACGGAGATTGTCCACATGTTGGGCATACGTTGGGTATATTGGGGTCTAGTCTGGATGGTTAGGAGTTTAACCTGCGACTGATCGTCGCTAGCGCTGAATTAATATTTGGTCGATCTTCTTCACCCAATTGCGATGTGCTTCTTCAGGTTTTCCAACAAATGGATATACCTGCAACAATTTCAAAGCCACCTCCGGATAACTGATAGGTTTTTAGGAGAAGCTTTTTATTTCATGCCAAAATAAACACTCGGGTAGTGGACATTCCCTGAGATAATACCATGTTTCGTTAGAAATCCGTCAGGTGATAGCTTAACTTGACATATTATTTTGTTTGGTGATTAATTGTGATTAAATTTTAAATACTACAAGTACACTTTTTTAACAACTTTCTCCCGGTCTTTTCTCTCTCAGTTCCAGCACGCTCAATATCGTCCGATTAGGCGAATTGGATTACAGTACAACAAATGATTCAACTGAAACACAAGATTTCGGTGTACGCCATGCTGTCGCCCATCCGAGTTACAATTTGGATCGCTACCATGACATTGCTTTAATCGAATTAGATCACGATGCCATACTTAACGAATATGTCATACCGGCTTGTTTACCACCAAAAAATGGCGAATATAAAGATTTTACTGCGGTTGGTTGGGGCAAAACGGAAAAGGGTGTATCTTCGCCACATCTACTGAAAGTCGATTTAAGTCTCTTTACCGGTGATGAATGTGTTAAGTCTGTAGCTGTACAGGATTATTTAGAATCGGGATTTAAACCTCGCACTCAAATATGTGCTGGCAGTCATAAGAGTGGTTTTGATACATGTAGCGGTGACTCCGGTGGTCCGCTTTATGTATCCCATCCGACTTATCACTGTATGCTACAGTTGGCTGCAATTACTTCATTTGGTTATGTACAATGCGGTACCGCCGGCATTCCAAGTGTTAATACGAAGGTGAATTTGTATTTAGACTGGATTGAAAATGTAGTGTGGAATGTAAGCCCGTTTTGAAAAATAAATAAGAGACGAAGTTTACTTTAATTAAAAGTGGACAATATTGAAAAGTAGATAATATCTACATATTGTATATCTATAACATCTTAAATTTATAAGAAACAGTTTGATGTTATAATTTCATCTCTGCAACACAAAAATATAGCAAATTCATCTAGCTATTGTAAGAAAATATCAACACGTCCACCACAATGGAGCTGGGCCGATGAAATGAAGTCAGTAAGTAGAGTTGGATCTCTTGTGTTAATATATTTATTAACTTCTCCATCAGTAGTGGCTGCAAGTGCCAAGTGCTAGGCTCTAATCCCGGAGAGACCAACATCTAAAAAGTTAATTTTGAATGCACACATTCTTCGGCAGGGAAATATGAAAACTATAGACTCTAATCAAATTCATCAGACATAAGAAGGTGGTTTCAATTTGTAGGCGCCTCCATTCGTAGAAAATGCATTAACACGCTTATAAATTGAAGCTTTTGGCCGAAAAACATACATTTCTCTTAGATGAATTATCATCAATTATGTGTACATGTCCCGAGGCAAAAAGCTGTTATTAATTTCGTTTTCCGACAATGCTTTGTATCTCTGATTCAGTCTCAATAGCAATAGAAATGCATTGCAATTTTTAAAAAGCAACCCTCCCTGCAATCGTCAAGCGGAGCCGTTATTTGTTTAGTTCTCCTACCAAAGAGTTCAGTAACACATACTCACCGTATACGTCGATAGCTGCTTACACTATAAATTTGTTGCCACCTTATACCAGTATATGAACACGGTTTAACGTTAAGAAAATTATAAATTTCCAGTGTACTTTTGAAATATATTCACTTAATTCCATTCTTTACTTCAAGATCAAAATATATAAGACATTAAAATATTTTTATTTTATTATTAAAATCAAAAATATTTTTTAATTCAATAAAATTTTCAGTTCCGCCCATAAAAGTATAATGACAGTCTGGCAGCGCTCGTGTTGCTACCGTGTACAGTCAATTTTTTTCTGTAAACATTTGTGAACTTTTCTTGTAGAATTTCTCTGTAAATTAACACAATAAATAGGTTAATTTAATAAAAACATTAAAAAGAAACAGTAAGAATTATTCAATACTATGTTCATCATAAAATTTCATCAAGGCAAAGAGTCATATAAGAAATAATCATGTTTCATTTCAGTGCAATTGATTTCTAAGAAAATCTTTTGGTTTTTTACTACGTAGACAAAGTGCATGCATCTTCATTGCGACCCGCACAACCATCACAAGAACAGCAATTCTGCTGTAATAAAAGTATAGACCAACGAAAATAAATATTTCTACACAAAAAGGTCAAGAAATTTGTATTATTAAACAAAACTTCAAAAAGACGTGAACTCATTTAATATTCAAATCATGGACGAATCGAATATGCAGGATAAGGAACGCTTCGCGAGTCGTGAAAATCATTGCGAGATCGAGAGACGTCGGCGTAATAAAATGACCGCTTATATCACGGAACTCTCTGACATGGTGCCAACATGCAGTGCATTGGCCCGCAAACCTGATAAATTAACCATACTTCGTATGGCAGTTGCCCATATGAAAGCACTACGTGGTACTGGAAATACAAGCAGTGATGGCACTTATAAACCTTCATTCCTTACCGATCAAGAACTAAAACACTTAATTTTAGAGGCAGCCGATGGATTTCTATTTGTTGTTTCATGTGATTCGGGCCGGGTTATTTACGTTTCTGATTCAGTAACTCCAGTATTAAACTACACACAGACTGATTGGTATGGTACAAGTTTATATGAGCACATACATCCTGATGATCGTGAAAAAATTCGTGAACAACTATCAACACAAGAATCGCAAAATACTGGTCGTATATTGGACTTGAAAACAGGTACTGTTAAGAAGGAAGGACACCAATCATCAATGCGTCTTAGCATGGGAGCACGTCGTGGTTTTATATGTCGTATGAGAGTTGGAAATGTTAACCCTGATAGTATGGTAGCGGGCCATTTGAATCGTTTGAAACAAAGAAATTCACTTGGCCCCTCCCGTGATGGCACTAATTATGCAGTGGTACATTGCACTGGTTATATAAAAAATTGGCCACCAACTGATATGTTCCCTGGTGTCCACATGGAACGTCCAGTCGATGACGATATGCATGCATCACATTGTTGTTTAGTGGCTATTGGGCGATTACAGGTAACCTCTACAGCCTCAAATGATATGACAAATTCAAACAATCAATCTGAATTTATAACTCGTCATGCAATGGATGGGAAATTTACATTTGTTGACCAACGTGTGATGAATGTTCTTGGTTACAGCCCCACTGATTTACTTGGAAAAATATGTTACGATTTCTGTCACGCCGAAGACCAAATGAACGTCAAGGATAGTTTCGACCAAGTATTAAAGCAGAAAGGAAACTTTTCTTTGATGTATCGTTCAAGAGCTAAAAGTGGAGAGTACGTTTGGATACGCACACATGCAAACGCATTTTTAAATCCATACACCGAAGAAGTTGAATACATCGTATGCACTAATAGCTCAGCAAAGACTCTACATTCAAACACTGGGCATGATACTAACAACCCGGATCAATCAGCTGGTGAACACATCTACGTAGCACCTGTCGTCGATTACACCTTACAGGCCCGTCGGGATGTCACTCCATCTGCAGCTGCTAGCGACGGTATGTATGCCTCTCATGGCATGATCGGTGCACACATACCCCCTCAAAGTGCAATGGCAACTCAACAAGCTAATAATGTAACACGTCCTGGTTCAGCACAAAATCCCGTTACTTATAATTATGATGCAACACACTCGCCACTAAGCGGTTATCCACCAACAGCAGCTGGTCCCTCACCGAACACCGCACATATGGCGAAAATTCCCAAAGCTAACAGTTCTCCAACACCGGCTACACCAACGTGGACAACAATTCGTCAACAACAGAACGTATCAGAAGGCTACCAATACAATCAAACAAGTCCTGCTCGTTCCCCTAGTGGTCCAACTTATACACAACTAAGTGCAGGTAACACACGTCAAGCTGCTTATCATACAGGCAATAATGGACAAACTGCTCCGCCGCCACCAACAAATGCTCCTGGCATGTGGGGCGACTGGCAAAATCCCACTCAACCACAACATCCGCATGTACCGCACGTCGCTCCTCACACTACACATGGGCCACATGTCGTTCATGGAGCACATGTGCAGGCAGGACAACCGCAAGGTCAAGAGTTTTCTGACATGCTACAAATGTTGGACCAGAGTGGCACCACCACTTTTGAGGACTTGAACATTAATATGTTTAATACGCAATTTGAATAGTTACAAGGATTACAACATGTATGTGTACGTTAGTAGTTCATAAGTAATGCAATATGTCTTAAAGTATACATTTATAATTATATTTATCAGAAAAGCACTAATATTTTAGTGAAAACTAAGATTGCTCATTTTGCAACTTAATAATGTTGTCAACATAGCACATTTGCAAAACCTTTAAATTGTCACGTCTCTTGGTGAAATTTATATGCATTCTTTCTTAAGAAACTTTGTTGCGAGGTTAAAATGGCAATAACGACTCGAATAACGCTTTAAATGTAAAGAAAAAAAATTAAGATTGCTTTTATATTTTCAAACAGAAAGTGGAAAATCTATTGTTAAATCCATAAAAAAAAATATGTCAGCAGGAATGTAATTTATTTTGTAAATGAATAACGCAACAGACGATAATGTAGTAGGGGTTTGTATGTTAGTATTATTTTATATTTTCCAAAAATATTTCTGAATAACAAATAATACTAAAAAATTTATGTATACATATGTATGTATATTGTTGCAGTCAAGCGCAAGCGCTCGTATGTGCTGAAGTTGCAATATCTACTTGAACAGAACTTGGTACTTTTCAGAAATAAAATCTGTGTATATGCATTTGTTAATTTCAGAACTTCCAAGATAATATAAATTTATATACATACATATGTATGTATGCAATATATTATGTTGGTTGCATAAGCTTGTCGTACGCGGTTAATAAAAAACAACGAACAATTGATGATCCTAAACAAAATTAATTTTATACTAGTAATAAGCAAATGTTTTTTCTGTAGGACTATAAGTGCGACAAACACACTTTTTTAGTAAAATTTGGTACATATACAAATATTTTTCCAAAAACATACTTAATTGCATTCAATTTTAGATATATTTTAATTGTAAAAATGTATCATGTAAGAATGTATTTATATTTGAAATAAAGTTTATCTTTTCTCAATATAATTTTCGTATATTCATTATCAATCAGTTACGTTAGTTATTTTTCGACCGGAATAGAGATTTTTGAAGATTAAACACTTTATAGCTCGAAAAATGCAATTTAATAATTGATAGAATACTTAAATCTTAAACTAAATAAATTAAAATTTTTTAAACAGATTAAAGATTGCAGCCCCTGCAATCAACTTCGCATTCTATCATAATCCTTTAGCATTTTGTATGGAGTTCAATTACGTTTGTTTCCTACGAATTAATTTAAAAATGTTTGCTAGGCTTTGATAAAATCATCTTATGAAATATTATAATATTTTGTTTATATTATTTGGGGCAGTCATTGCCACCGTTTTCAGTCAAGTTCAAAATAAACAATTTTTTTTCTTTTTTATCTAATTTTATTTCGAACTTGTTATAAAACACCTCTTCACAACTAATCTAATCTTCCGCTTTCTCTGGGGGTGGCCCACATGGCTGTAGCATTCTTTCCATCAAATTAAAACGTATACGCGCTTTAGACTCATTTTCAGCAATAGCAAAATAATTCAACATATCGTAGTGTCCCATATAACTAGCGAGCGAGTCCCGATGTTGATTTGTAAGCCATTCAAATTTTGTTGTATCTGCATGTCCAGTGCCGATGTATTTACTTTGTAGATGCTCTAACTGGCTATGTATATTGTATCTTTCACCCATAATCGTAGTTATTCTGACAGTAAAAATAAATTATTTATATTCAAAGCAGCCCAAAATTCAGAATAGTGAAATTGTAAAGCAAATTGATTTTTACGCAGAGATATCGACTATCACATTTTTTGACACAACATCGATATATGCAGTGTGTATCGGCCAAAAACTAGGTTATACGGCATTTGCACGGCAGCCCAATTACGTGTTTCGCTCTCTCAATTACGAATGCGAATTACCCCCATTCAGACGGCACGCAGTTTGACAGTTTTCAGTTTCGCTTGTTTGCTCCATTTGAAAACCTATGGAAAATTAAAGATTTTAGTTAAAGTAAACAAAATTTTGAATTGAATTAGCAATGTTTTTCCAGTTTCTATAATAATTTCTAATTTTCTTCTTTGGTATCAAATCCATGTTTTTGTGTTAGTGTCGACTTTTATGATTCTCCTGTCTTTTGTCTTGATTTGTCAGCTGGTTTCGATAAAATTTCGATAAGAATTAGAGAGGGCATCGAATTGGTCGTAATTTGCATGGCAATTGAGAGCGAATTACCCACTTTTACTGTAATTCGCTCACGAAAATTTGTATGGCGAATTAAATAATTCGGCATGTATTTGGAGTGCGAACTACGATTGAGAGAGCGAAACACGTAATTGGGCTGTCGTGGAAATGCCATATTACTCGGCTTTTCCACGGCATCGTAAATTACATTAAAATACTCTCCATTATGCTAGCAGGATAAGCTAGCAAGATAAGCTTTTTGATGTGGGGACGGCTATTGCATACCCATTATAATGTATTATGCAGTGGGAACACTTACAGCTGTTCAGTAGTAACACCGTTTGCGGCATTTACAAAATTCAATTGGATACGAATCGAATAAAAGAAAAAATATTTCTTGCTAACGAAAAAATTGTCTTGAAAATGTGTGGAAGAACTTGTCTGTAAGTGTAGAATAATATTTTGTAAAATAAATGTATAAACAACTAATCATGTTTTTCTAGAACCCTGCAACCGAAAGATTTGATCTGTGCCTGCAAATATAAATCAACCAAACCATCTAAAGATTCCAACAAACCAGGTGATAATACTCTTCTAACGCCTGAGTGGCGTTCTGAGTACAATTGTGGCCGTAAATTCGAGCCTTCATACAACATGGTTCCCTCTGACGTTACACCAGTAATTGTATCCGCCGATCATTTCAACGACAATACAAGTAGCGAGGAATTGAACGCCCAGTCACAAATTATTGTTCCTATGATGTGGGGTATGATTCCATTTTGGCACAAAGGCGACTATCGCCGTCATGGACTGACTACCAACAATTGCCGGTTAGAACATATGTTAGAGTCGAAGTTATATAGTGGTCCTTTTAGGAAAGGACAGCGGTGTGTAGTGCTGTGCGAAGGCTTTTATGAATGGCAAACTACAAAATCAGCCAAACCATCAGAAAGAGCAGCGCATTTGCTGTATATGCCACAATCGGAAGGGGTAAAGATATATGACAAGTCAACATGGGCACCCGAAAGTGTTAATCTTTTGAAAATGGCGGGTCTCTTTGATGTTTGGGAAGATGAGAATGGTGACAAAATGTTTAGTTATAGTATCATAACCTTCGAGTCCTCAAAAATAATGTCTTGGCTACATCATCGTATGCCTGCTATTCTAGAAACTGAGCAGCAAGTTAATGTACGTTTGATATGCATATATATACAAAGATTATAATGTGCAAATAGATCTTTTAACTAATACATTATCTTTCAGGATTGGATCGACTTTAAACGGGTCAGCGACGAGGAGGCATTAGCCACCTTGCGACCTGCAACCAAATTAGAGTGGTACCAAGTGTCAAATCTCGTAAATAATTCTCGTAACAAATCCGAACAATGCAATAGACCCATAGAACTGAAAAAAATGTTTGATTCTTCGAAAGGGTGCAATATAAAAAATAAGACCTTATTGAATTGGCTTAATGTGCGAAAACGTCGTGAAGATCAGGCAAAGCAGCTAAGTGACGACGAGAGTACAACAGGTCTAGAGGGTGGAAGTGGAACAGACAGTGCGACAAGTGAGAGCGATGCTGAGGTTCCTTCAAAAAAGCCACGTTTTTGTGACTACAAAAGATCTCTTAGAGAAGCAGCACTATTCAATACTGCCCTATCAGCAGATAATGCAAGCGAAAAGCCTCAAACTTGTGATGAAAGCTAATTCAAAATTTTAGTAAAAAATGAAATTTGTTTCCATTGCTGTAAAATATATATATAGTTTATTTTATTTTGAACTGTTTGCTTGATGCTTAAAACATAAATAAATAAGTTATTTTAAATAATGATATAAAGCACAATTTTTTCAAAATAGTAAGGAAAACTAATTTTAAAAGGAAAATAAACTAATAAATCGTTGATTTTCAATTAAAGCTCTTTAAATTTATATAATATGGCAGCCCAACACGACTGAGAATGAGCTTCAACCCTGAAAAACGTAAAAAGTAGTAAGTCAAAAACCTAGAAGAAAGAACACAGAAAGACTAAAAATTATCTTCTGTCGCAAAATAAAATTGTTTTTCTTTCTATTCCAAAATTTTCGTTAGAGTAAAATTTTATATATTTACAAACATCAAAAGGTAGTGTGCCCAAATCCATATATAAAGAATATAAAAAAAAATTAAATTATCTTTGCCAATTGGCCAGCGGGAGGAGTGAAGAATACAATTTTTTCAATTGTCATCGTCTATGCATTATTCCGAAAATGTACATACTTATGTACATATAATAATAGAAAAAGAATATACCTTTGAAGTCCAAAAAGTGTTTATGATAAATTAGAAAGTATAGTGAATCAGTGAATCGGAATCCATATCCAAAAGTGTAGATATAAATGTAGCATCTAACGAGAGGAAAATAAGAAAATGTTTCCCATAAACCAATGAAGGTGATGTGTATGGCTAGGTCATTTGCACATATGCAAATAAATGCAGTGTATCCAATCATCACAACAAGAAATATCGAAATTGTTACATGATCAAACATTCATGTGCGCATAAATGTAATTTTTTTACTGCAAAAGCAGCAACTAATTAATTAATATTTTTTTTTATAAAAGATAATGTAATTTGCGCTTAATAACTTGAATGAAATTCGTTTAAATCTGGATTCACGCATGTATAAGTAAATGATAAAATCTTTGTATGAGATATTTCTAATATCATTGAATTAACTTCGCAACAGCACATGAGGCAAGTGCAATGTGCATATCATTTGCTTATACTCATTACGGTACCATATATTCCAATAGGGCAAGTGGACTGGTCGACAATTTTAAGTTTACCAAACAGTTTGGTGTTCACAAGTTTCAAATTAGAGAGAAGCAATACCAATATAATGGACTGTATAAGATTCCGAAGGTTCATTATAAACATATTTTCTTGAATATCCGGATAATATAAATTGTGCTAAAGCTTTTCTAATTCCACTCTGTTATTTTTTTACATTATAAAAAGTAAACTTTTCCCGGAAAATATTGTTGATAGATGGTAACGCCGTTTTGCCCGAGGAAGAACACACGATGTTTAACGATAGCTCGAACGAATGAACGGGCAACGGGCTAAATATTTTCCTTTTTTCTTTGCTTTCCTTGGCGAGGAGTTAAAAATAAAATTTTCGCGATGAAAGATGTTGTAGAAGTGAAAACAAGAATATCGTAATTAAAAGAAAATTATTTTTGAAAACAAAGAACTTACCGATTCTTTTGTTATACTTAGTTTTCCTCAAACACAAAAGAGAATACACATAAAGCAGGGAATTTAAGTGAAGGTAAAACTGAAGCAAGAAAAGTGATTCGTTTTTTTTTATTTATTTATTTCTTTTGTACAATTTTAATCGTATCTGTTCGATAAAAATACAGAAAATACAAGACTAATAACATAAAAATAGAGGTATGTTGCTTTGCAAATATCTATGGGAATTTTGCTGGCTAGTCTAATTAGAATTCAGAAAGGGGTTGAAGGGTGTATGAAGAATTGTAAAAACAAGTCTTAAGTGGACTCATTTGTTTAGGGAATGACCAAGAAACATACATTTATATATTCATAAATATATCGACGTGAATTGATCAAGCAAATAACAGAAGCAAAATATTTGTATATTTCGATGATACGAAAATTAAAGGACTTCAATGACAGTTGTTTACAAATGGTAGTGCCTATTTGCCGGTAATATAATAGTGATTATCGTAAACCCTTATATAATCCGCAGTAATATTTGTTTGATATACCTTGTTATACATCCTTTTCATAAATTTGTATGCACTACCAACACCAATCTAATATATTATATTTATTTCTCTATACCTAGTTTATGCATTGGAACAATCGACAATTACTATAAGAACTAAGGACACTATTACGATTTCTTCAAAAAATTAAGTAAATAATTGGCCGCGGCCCAGAATTTGGCTGAAAAGTCGTCGTGCTGAACAGGAGCATATAAAAGAATTCCATAACATCTATACCACTTAATATTCAACATTAACGTCTACAGTTCTGGGTCCCGTAAATATTTATACTTATAATCGACAACGTTTTGTCAATCAAAAAAAATTATACTTGGATTGCAACATTTACTAAAGACAGAATATTTAATGAACACTTCCGATAACTTTAATATTTTCCATTTGTACCGGTAACGATATTCTTAAGTGAAAGAGCAAAACAAACGGAAAACGGAATTTGTTTTGACATAATAACGTCAATTGCTCAAACGTGTTAAAACTGATAGTGACAAAAGCCGAGGCGATAAAGCAACGGGGACAGATTAGACTGTTTCATACCGACTTCTGAATAATGAGTCGCCATGAAGGTAACGCTAACATTGGTAAATTTAATTTTTTTCTTTGATACATTTAATAATAAGTCAATATTTATAGAAAATATATTGAAGTGAAGTTATAAACGTTAAAATACATAGTATATAGTATATATAATTATACATACTTGTAATTAAATATTTCACTTTGTGTTTACCATTCCCTACTAGGAGTCAGTTGTGATTCCTGTCTCAAAAGCAACTTTAATGGTCGCCGCTACAAATGTCTGATTTGTTATGACTATGATTTATGTGCTGATTGCTATGAAGAGGGTGTTACATCTACGCGTCATTTAGTCGATCATCCGATGCAATGCATTCTAACACGTTCCGACATTGAACTGTTTTTTGGTGGTGAAATGCTCAACTCCGAGCAACCACAAAGTTTCACCTGCCCTTATTGTAAGAAAATGGGCTTTAGCGATACTACTCTGCTGGAGCACGTTTCGGCTGAGCATACGGAGACTAGCCTCGAAGTAGTGTGTCCTGTTTGTGCCGGACTACCGGGTGGGGAACCGAATCTAGTCACAGACGACTTTGCCGGCCACTTAACGTTGGAACATCGAACAGGACCACGTGAATTAATTTCATTTCTGATATCCTTTTCTAAAAAAAAAAAAAACCTTGCACTAACATATTTTGATAATTAACATTACTTTTTGTTGATAAACTAAATTATTATTTTTTTGTTATATGATATGGTTTTCCTTAATAAATCTTTTTGATATATACGATGAACCATCTGCAATTCGACATGGTGGAGGTGTACGTCGTATTCCAGGCCGTACTCTTGGAGGTCCTCGCGCTCGGCGGTCAAATATGCACTTTAGTTCATCAAGTGGCTTGTCTGCATTGTCGCCATCTGGAAGGGAGTCAGTTGATCCAATCGCCGAACTACTTTCACAATTATCAGGTGTGAGAAGAGGTGGACCACAGACATCTCAATTGCAACAATTGCAAATGCAAATACAATTGGAACGGCAACAAGTGACGGTATGTGAATATATTTTTCTTTTTTCTACAAATATACAGATTACAGTTTGCTTCCTACATATGCAGCCGCATATGTGTGTTAACGCCGAAAGTATGAAATTGCGCAGTTGTTATATCTTAGTCAAGAGACAATGCGTTAAGCACAAACAAATTAATGACGAAAATAATTTAATTGTTTATATTTTTATTTGTATTTGCATTTATGCTTCATTTCTGCCTTTGCATCTTCTGTAGATATAATATACATACATATGTTAGCTGATTTCTATTTATTTGTGATTTTGTTTTAGGCAACTCGCCAACAGTTGGAACGTTTGCCCCGCCGGGCACATCCGATGGTCTCTTCATCGAATTCAAATGCAACCATGCCAGAGGTGATAAGCACAGGCCCAATACTGAGTGGTAGTGGTTCTGGTGGTAGTGGCGGGAGTGGAGCTAGTGGTTCAGGCAGTGCTAATGGTGGTGGTGGCAACTCATGTCGTACTAACGAATGGACTGTTAATCCATCGTTAACAGCCCAACAACAATCGCAATCGGGTCTGACAGGTAGTGCCGGACTTAACAACAGAGAGGTATGTACATTTATATTGATATTTAACTAAAATATTCATTGCGTCTAATTTTATTTTTTCCTCTTTCGAAACAGAGCGGCGGTAGTAGTGGTAGCGTAAGTGGTGCCAATGGTGGCAATGCTAACAATTTACTCGGCATGTCTATTGCCAGCGGTGTAGTTGTTAGTGGTGTAAATGGCTCTGGCAGTGCTGGTGACGGTCAATCGCAATTTTTGCTAACAAAATTCATGCAGCCAACTTTGAGTGATACAGAATGGGCTGAAATGGAAAGAGAACGATCTGATCGGTAAATTTTTTTTTAAATATTTGACAAACAAATTTCTTGTATTCCTCAAATTGGTTTTCGGAGGATATTGCGACAGTGGCCGTTCTTGACCGGATATATTTATAAATTAATTATTTATCGTTTTCAGATCACAATTTGTACAAGCGCTTTTATTGTCAACACTTTCCTTTGATTCGCTTGACGCAATTACAATTAGTGGAGTCGAAGCCGAACGCGAGCATCGCGGCGAGTCGCAAGAAACGAACAGTGATAATGTAAATAATGAGAAGGTCTCTGCAGCGAACACAAAATGCGATTCTAATGCTAGGGAATCGTTAATGAACAACAACACAGATGCCTCGGCCCAAACCACAAACACAAGCGGTAGTGGCAGTGGCCGACAACAAGTACATCAACAGCAACAGACCTCTCCGGAGGATATTGCCGATGAGTATAAGCAATTGCATCAACAGCAGCAACAACAACCACAGCAGCAAACCTATGCATCAAAAAAGAAAGCAACGAGTAACACCGGTGCGAGTGGTGGCGCTGGAGGTACTGGTGGTAAGTCCACAACTGATAGAGGCATTGAACGAAGAGGCCGTCCACCACCTCCACCAGTTGGTGGTGCAGCTGCAGCCGCAGGCTCACAACCACAACCACAACATTCTAGGTAGTGTTATCGTCCTCATCAGCTGTGGAATGAACAGAAGCAACTAACACTAAAACTTCAACATAATAAAAACAAAGAAAAGAAACAAATTATAGAGAGACCGGAGCAAAAGTACATCCACAACACAACACAGTTATATACCACATTAGGCACATCAACAATGGATATGTAAATGGTCAGCTGTTGTAGCAGTACTTCAGCAAATGCGAAAAGCATTGCTATAAAACCAAGGGGGGGATTAAACAGTTCAAATATGTAAAACAGATAGAAACGTGAGGTATAATGCTAAAGACAGGATGACGGTTACATATAAAGCGGCAACAGAAGCAGCAACCAGAGCAAAACATTATAAATATGGTTTATTAAATATATATTATAATTATTAAAATTTATATAATTATAAAAAGCAAAGAGAAGGCATCCCAAACAACCCAACAACACAACTATTGTAATGAAATGAACTAATTATAATTTTAAAGAAATTGAACATTTAAAATTAAAGGAAACACTTAAAATATAAATAACCAAATTATCTGTGGCAAGGCCAATTTGAATATATACTAAACAAAAAATAGTTTATATGTATGGAAGCACATATGAACACAGGATATTTGTATTAAGCGAACGAGCGCGTTATTAGTCCGAAAAGTGAAGGAGATTAATTAAAATTGGTTATTTGTAGTTCAACTGAACTTAATACAATTTCGATATAAAACATCATTGGATAAAATTTGTAGCAAAACATTGCGGGTAATTAGATTTTGAATCTAATATATTTATTTAAATCTTTTTGCGCATTAAAGTTACAAGTATATTTATATTTTGAAGAAGGTTACAAATTCTTAGCGATTTCTACTACAGGTTGGATGAATAAATTGGCGATTTGCTAATTCTGAAACGTTCGCACTTGCTTATATTCAAATTTAAGTCGAATATATCGTCCTTATTACCCTTTACTTGTTTGATACGATTTTTCAGTTATAAATTACTAACTGGTAGGTTGATATTGTTTCTAGATCCATATACATATACATGCATAGATGGGATTGAAACAATTTGTATACAAAAAATATATAATTCATGGTTGTTTGAAAATCATGTACATATATGCAATTGTTTGCCTATACATATATATTGGATTAATTAAATTGTTTTCGTTTCGAATCCCTTCCAAAGATTAACTCATATATCAATACAAATTAAGCATAAATATATGTATTTCGGTATTGTAGTTCATATTAGATGCAAGGAATCAACTTGCTTTTCATATATAATATTTTCTTCAGACCTGGAACGAATCGAATCCCAATTTTTGTGAAAAATAAATATCCATAATTTTCTTTACGCTAGGGCTGCGGAGTATGATTCTATGTATGTATGCATAATTATGATTTGGGGGAAAAACACGACAAGCTTGCCACTAACCAGCAAGTAAGTTCTTCAAATGTTACACGCTAGAAACTCAAAAAAAAAAAACATAAATTCACAAACAATCCTAATTCCGTTAACAAATTTCACATGTAAAGATTTCGTTCATTCACTCAAGTTAAAAATTGATTTATGATGATGACTGCATGTATGTATGTTTATCTGAAGATTTCGAAAATTCGTCAGATCAACATTAACTGTAATATTTTGAAAAGCAAAATAATGAAATATTGAATGTCTATAGATTGTATAAGCAAAAATATTGAAAATTGTTTAAACGTGAGTCACTACGAAACTGGTAACGAATTCTCGAATTTGTGTATGAAACGTTTCACAATGCTGAAAACCGATAAAATGATTGTATTATAAGAATATTTAATAAATTTAAAAATATTACAAGGTTAAAATTTTTCGTGTTTTGAATTGTTATGGAATATGTATGTATGTACATACATATGAATATTTATAATTTGTTGTTAACAAAATTCCTTTTTATTCCAATTTATGAAAGCATTTTTTTTCATATATTGTACATATCAAATTTCATAAAATGTTTAGAAGAATCGAAAAGATTTTTCTTGAAATTTGCAAATTCTTCGGTTTTTAACGAAAAGAACCGCTTTATTTGTATTCTTTTGATGCTGTGGGTGTTTTATTTACGCTGAAGCTCTTTTCATTTCTGTTTGTTTTTGTTATTGTAATTTTGCTAATACAGTTTTCATATTTTCTTTAAGTAAGCGCTCTCTAAAAAAAAAACAATTTCAGTAAGTATTCATTTCATTTTCATTTTAATAACCAGGATTATCATTAATAGCTCTCAAATTGGGCATATCGATTAAATCCTCCAAACTGACCACAGCCTGATGCAGGCAAAAGTACTCTTCCACTGCGTGTTTAATGAAACGTTCATCTGAAAATATCAAGTACCTAATTAATAAACCATAATTGCAGCATTGTGAGTATTAAATTCTATGTAAATATGTGTCTATGTGTAACCAATCATGTTTTTACATTCACTTACTTGGATATTGATTTTCCAAAATGATGGAATGCGCTAAACTTTTAGCCAATTTTTTAAACAAAAAACGATTGGCTATAAGACCGGCACGCATCGGTTTCATTAAATGCTTTACCATCCATGGAGATATGCGCCGGATGCAACTGCAAATGAGTATTTCGTCTAAGTCGATAGAAGGGCTGCATGGCGCAAATTCATCTTCGCTATCTTCACCGAAAAGTGTGTGAAATTTCCATTTGATGAGATCATGCCATCGAAAGTCTTCCTCCAGTAAGTGACTTAATGATGCTGATAAACGTCGTCGTTGCATATACAATTCACAAGGCCATAAACTGTGTCGCAAATTGGAAGCTGTCGTTTCAATTTGACTTGACGTTGATCGAAGTGGCTGGGTTAAATCATTGTTATGGCAATTTTGTATGGGGGATTTGGATACATTTGATGAATGGTCTTCATTAACTGGTGATAGATTCTGTTTGCAGGGTTTATAATCTCTGTTTTGCTGAGTTTCAGATTGCTTTTGTTTGAGTTCGTGCACCAATGATGCGTTTTCAATCTCTTCTAAAACACTACGAACTTGCGGATCATCCATTTCGCTTTTCGAATTAAGACCAAGTAGTTCTTCCAATTCAGACTTCTCTTCGCTAAATAACTGTGCCAGCTCCAAAGCAATTTCGTCATCCTCTTCCACGGCATTGCTATCAACATTCTTGAGCAATGTAGGGTTGACATTGTTGATTTGATCACTAGGCACCGGTACGGTAATATTGTTTATAGGTGGCGGGGTTTTCTTTACATCTGATCTCTTTATTCTCACTTCACGTACAGCAGTTGTTACTTTCGGGCTTCTTGACTTTATTTTCTGCTTTTTTACGCTCATGTCCGAAACTTTAGGGAAAGTGTTATCAAATTTAAATGATTTACAATATTTTTCGTTTAGATTTTTAGAAAGTGGATTGTTAATTGGCGTGAAGTCTTGTAGCACCTTGGAGGAAGATACTTTATGTGTCGCCGCTACCTTGGCTGCTGTGGCTTGGTTAAGGTGCTCTTGAAACATTTCAATTTTGTGTTGTAACGATGCGTTTCGACCATGACTGGTATCAATTGGTCTGCTTTCTGACAATATACTAGTAGGATCCCCAGCTTGTATAAACTGCTCTTGAAATACTTCGATTTTACGTTGTAGCGATAAGCTACTAGGTGTGTTTACATCAGTGGACCTGCGTTCTATTAATAAACTATTCTGATCGGCATTGTTTCGGAACATCTGAACATCAGTTTGAGTCGCTTTTTGTCTTTGGTTATTTAACATTGACTTGTTTCCCTCGGTGACAAGGAAGTGTTTTATTTCATTTTCGAGACGAAATTCTTGTGTGCTGCGGCGTACTTCAGCTATCTTCAATATTGAAAACAATTAATTACATTAGCTTAAGTGAGCTCAAATATTTGGAGTGTATTATTAACTTACTATTTTTAACATAGAACGCTGGTAACGGCGGGCATGCATACACGCCTTTATTGCTTTATCCTCAAGGTGGCGGCAGCATTTCTTTAAGGTAGCTTTTTCTACGAGTTCCAGTTCCAAATCAAATTTGGCACTTTCATTGTTTTGCGCCGCATTTGCGCGCCAAGCACATATATTTTCCAGCAATTGCTTTTCAAGGTAATTGCAATAATGATTACGAACCTTAATAAATAACAATTTGATAAGTATATTTTTTAGATTCTTCTACCATAGTGTAATAAGGGTTCAAATACCATGTCTGTGAGGACGACAAATATATCACAACTAGTGTTTTCATCCGGGTTGTTATGTCCTTCAGTCTCATTGGGCTCATCAATATTGTCGTTCCATTCGTTGTCATTCTTATGTAAATTGTTAGTGTTCCTCAATGCCATGGCAATCACTTACTCAAAGTTAATTCATAAGAAGATATTTTATAAAAATTTAACTTTTCACGTATTTTTCTTTATTTCCACATTCGCCACAACATAATTTATTCTGACAACAGCCAAAGAAGATTTTCGTAAAACCTAGAATAGAAACAATACGCAATCGTAATAAAGAAGTATACAAACAAATGCTTGTATACATATGCTTATGCGTACATACGATATGCATCAATGCATTTGTACATATATACATATATGTATGTATATGTTAACAACTACCTTGAAGTATATAACAGATGACCATTAAAAATTTGGAAATATTTCAATAACACAATCCTTACCTCTTTTATTCCAATGCATATATGTATGACCTGACACACAAATCCTTTGACAAAATTATGCCGGCTAATATTTACTTAGTATGTGGAATTGTAAATGGAGCCCGAATTTGCTCTAACACGTATGTACGTACATATTTATGTGCATATTTAGTCCTAGATTATAAAAAAAAAATAAGTGAGTGCTAGTTTCGGCTTGGCCGATTGGGGAGATCTACGGAAGTAAATTTCATCTGTAAAGCACAAAAACTGCAGGGAAATACATATTCCCAAATCATAATTTTCCATACATTAATTTCATCCTTCGCTATAATGCTTAAAAAAATAAAAATAATATCTATGTGAAAACTTACATACATATAATGTTCGATCGGGCCAAAGATGCTCGAAGAACATCCATTCATATCGTTAAAATTGGTGTAAATTTCGAAATAAATATATCTTTTGTTAGTTATGTCAAGAATGAGATATACCTACACCTCTTCGCCATCCCATTCAATAATATCTGCTTTCTTTAATTTCAAACGAGCTTATTTATCGAAGCCGCAGTGGATATCTTTCTACTGATATTTTAAGTTTAACAAAAACTATAGTTTATTTTTTATTTAATTTGTTAAGTATATTTCCATTTTGTGTCGCACATTTTTTAATATACATATTTATTGTGTTTGCAACAAAAAAAATTAGTTCATTCAATTTTGTGGCTATGTTTTTAAATATACATACATATATCGCTAAACTATTAGTCAATATAAGTAGAATAATTTATTTTAGCATATATTTGAATCCGCGCGTTCACATATGTAGAATTTTAATATATAAATAAAAAATGAGTAACTGTTGTAACAAATTTCTAATACCCATTTGTAGCCAACGAAGTATATATTTTTTTAACTGATTTAATTTTTATACGAGTGAAGGAAGTTGGCTAATTATGGGGATGTCAATATAATGGTTTTATGGTCTTACTTGTTTGAGTTGTGTTTCATGTAATTTGCCATTTACTTGTTTTCATCAATCTTAAGAATTAATTATTACAATACAATAATTTCTCTGCCGATGAGCTTATACTATTTTACACAGTATAATTAAATGTTTACGCATATATTAGGTTTGTATATATGTAGATGTACACATACACTCTGTGAATTATGTTAAAGACACCAACTTTATGTACGTCTTTACTTCGACTTTTTTTTTAATTCGTATTATTTTTGTTAGAGGATCTCAACATGACAAATTTTTCAGTTTTTTTCTTTCTCCGATTACATTACTTGTATGCGTATGTTTCTCTGATTTCTTCAATTCTTTAACAGTTTTATTGTATGGTATACAATGCGTTGTGTGTTGATGCTAAATTTTTTTTTCGTATTTCCCTAAATCTTCATCATTATATTATTGCATATTGCGATGTCCGATCCAGTCATGCATTTAAAATAGTGTTGGTATTAAGAGTTCTTATGGTATGAATATACTTTAAACGTTTATAAAGTTTTTAATAACAAACTCAGCTAAGCATATGTTATTAAACGCCATATTATATTGAAATTGTTAGCGGAGCTGTGGATGTAATTAGTCCAAGTCAACAGCGCTGTCATCGAAACCAAATACATTTCTTTGTTGTTGTTGTTGTTGCTGCTGCTGCTGATTTCCAGTTTGACTAGGGTTACCGCTCGTAGCACCGGTTGCTGGTGGAGGAATACTACTGTTGCTACTATGAGCGCCTACATGTAAGTCAGTTCCTTCCATAGTAGTATTATCTGTTCGGGATATTTCGGACATACTGGCGTCCATATCGCCAGGATCAGCACTTGCCATGACAGCATCATTCGCATCTTCTTCGTCACTAAGAGATTTACGGCAAATTGGACAAGTACCGTGTAGATCTAGCCAGGGAATAATACAATTTTCATGATATATGTGTGAGCAGGGTAACCTTCTCACCACCTCGTCTAGACGAAAATCTTCCCAACACACGGAACACTGAGTTTTACGATTTACGTCCTCGGAGTTTACATTCACTTTGGGTATCTCTTCAATTTTTTCCTTCGGCAATGGTGGTGGACCAGATGTTTCCATTTGATTTAATAATTGTGTCACAATTGTATCTATGCCTTCACGTCCCCATGCATAATCACCGGGATTGCCCATAAAAAACATAGGAGCATTACCAAGGTTCAATTCATCACCTCCTGAAAGAGATTGCAGAAAATCAAGCAGAACGGTATCCAAACTACCGAGATGAGGTGGGTGTACTCGTCCTCCGCCAGGTCCATTACTTCCGCCGCTGTTGCTACCAGTACTTGTACCAACTCCCCCGCTTCCTAATAGCATGCTACTACGTCTATTCGCCGGGCCAATGGCAATTTCAATCGGTCCGTTGCGGGACATTAATAAAGTTTCTATTTCTCCTCTGATCACATCTAAATCAACTAAGCGATTTAAAGAGTGTGCTTCCGAATTGCTGTTGCTGGGACCGTCTGCGACACTAGACGTACTGCTACTTCCACTAGCAATATCTGGAGCTGTTGGCAGCTCTTCCACGAATCCGCCAGAACAATGTGGACAGGTGAAGTCTGTATTTGGAATGTTTACTTCCATACTACACATATGACAATAGAAACGAGTCGGTAAAGGCGTGCGTTCGTCAACCACAGCTTCAGCCATTCTGATTAGGTTTTTTGTTTCAGCGAATCACCAACTGTCCTGTCTGGCGGCAACGAGGTTGACGTAGACTTTTCGTTGCCGCTAATTTTTATTTAATAGATAACTATTATTAAGGCTAGCAAAAATATTATTAGCTATTTGCCTTATTTTCGTACGGAATTTTATTCAGTGTGCTTATATTAGGTTCCACTAGCTTCTAGACGTCGAACCACCGCTGTCACAAAAAAATAGTGATTTGTTGTTGTTTTTTTCTATGACGAATTTACCGATTTTCTTTTTTTACCATACTATTGTCTGATTTTTGAAGATTTTCAATTTTTTATGTACCGTTATGAAATGTGTAATTATAACGTGTCTTCACAACAGCTTTCTTTAAAAATTATTTGATTTTAATTTAATGTTTTTAAAGTTATGTAGCAAAACTACATTGCAATTGCAAAATTAATCCAACGGGTTCTACAAAGGAAGTGTTCGTAAAGTCTTTATAGGAAAAGTTACAACCCTGTTGTCTCAGTGGTCCGATGTAATTACAATATATTTTGTGTTATACATAAAATTCACATATTGCATGGGGCCAAAATTAAATTTAATTATTAGTAAAGAGTATTATTTATATTTAGTTTTAAAGAATGTCGATTGCTTACTGTACTTCTTTATTAGCTTAAAGTTTTATGATAAGTATCATCTGGCAACATTAATTGTTAACCTCTAATCTAATTGACAGTTAGTCATTCTGGCAATTGTCATAGAGAAACAAAAAGTCATCTTGGTTTGTGCTGGTTTTGTGTTGGTCATTGGAGAATATATCGTTTGTCTGGATTGAAATATTATTTGGTTTTTATTTCCTAAAGTAAACGAAAAGAAAATAAAGCTTAAAAATGTCGATTATGGCTTATAATGGTGGTTGTCTCGTCGCTATGCGCGGGAAGAACTGTGTGGCTATTGCAACTGATCATCGTTTTGGCATACAGGCTCAAACCATTAGTACTGACTTTGAAAAAGTATTTCACGTAAATCCACGCACATTCCTCGGACTTGTTGGTTTGCAAACGGATATACTTACTGTTCATGATCGTATTATGTTCCGCAAAAAGTTGTATGAGGACAGAGAAAACCGGGAAATGGCACCGGAACCATTTTCCGCAATGATATCGAATTTCTTATACGAGCATCGATTTGGTCCATATTTTATCGAACCAGTGATTGCCGGTCTACATCCGAAAACTTTGGAGCCTTTCATATGTAATATGGATCTTATTGGTTGTCCAAATAAGCCGGATGATTTCGTGGTTGCAGGAACTTGTTCGGAACAACTTTACGGTATGTGTGAAACCTTGTGGAAGGAAGACTTGGAACCGGCAGAATTGGCAGAGGTGATATCTCAAGCTATTGTTAGTGCATTCGATCGTGACGCTATTAGCGGTTGGGGTGCGTCTGTATATATCATTGAAAAAGATAAGATAACTAAAAAACAAATTAAAACACGTATGGATTAGAAGGGTTAAATTTATTTGAAATAAATCGTTTTATACATTTAAAACAAAAAAAAAACCTCAATTATTTCATATATATACATATACAATTGTTGTCTAATTTTATTCATTTCAAATCTTTGGACTTTCAAAACTCTTACTACGGATGCAAATTTCACTGTAAGTTTGGTATGAACAGAAGGAAAAGGCTGTCGACAAAAATTCATCAGTTCTCGCGAGGATTGAGTCTTTATACCATAAAGACGAAGGTTTCTATATGGTCAAGAAATTTCACTCTGGCAAAAATCCACAAGAATTAATTTATGAAATACTTTTGCGGTTACAGTAAAAATATATCAGATGATAAAATTCTCCTAAGTGGTAAGGTGTTAGTAGTAGGATCCAAATATGAGAGAAATTTCAGTAAACCTTGAGCAGCATTCGACCACTTAAACGCAAAGAAGTAAAATTGATGCATAAAAGAATTCTGCTACATTTTTTGAAATTTTTATTTATAGCTTACATTACTTAAGCTAGTAATCTCACTCTTATATTTAAGGGTTTTTATACTTTCCATTGCACACTCTTTATTGCCATTTCTAAAGCGGCTTCCTTAGTTTTAGCTCCTCCAATAAATCCAGTTGAGTGTACAAAAATTAAGTCCGGTATATTGGCCATCTTTGATAGTTTTTCATCTCGCAAGCCTCTCCAGGGTTCAGGTAAAAATTTTCTTCCCAAAAAACTAGTAGGAGAAATCGGAACCCCTGCCACGCGCCAGCTCTGTTCTTTTTCAGAAAATATAACTAATTTAGGTATACCTTCAACGCCGTATTCCTTCTCTAGGTCCGATAAATGGGATTTCCAAGGACAAAAACGCTCTAGTAATAGTATTTCACCCGTCTCGTAAATAGATTTGGCTTCTTTCAAGGATTTCCGCACATATTCTCTCGCTTTTATCCAAGAACCAGCCATATCTAAAACATTGTCTGTAAACTCTTTTCCAACCAATTCCAAAGCAATCTCAAATCGTTTTTGTTCAATTTCCGGACCCTGCTCGTCTTCCCAAGATGGATTAATTCTGTGTACGCGTGATGAGAGATGCGTTGATATTTTATATAAAGGTTCATCCTCATTTTCGTACATGGGTACACCATTATCAATAGCATCAATTTCACTAACGAAATTTCGGTATATTTGAATAAAACTCAATTTTATATTTTCAGCCGATAATGACATTCCCTTTTTTTCCAATATGTTTTCTATTACACGCTCGCCATAATGAGCATATATAAGCCCAGCACTACTAAGCCTGGAATTAGAGAATTAGATTTATCTTAAATTAAAATATTTTTTAATACCAAGTACTTGATTTTGAATTGGTCGCCAAGTTCCGGTCGCAACGAGCTAAGAGTTTCCGAAAAATTTCTTTGATGATGATCATACAACTTCTGTTGATGATTAAATTCGCCACCAACATCAACAATTATATCACAATTTTCGTGTAATAATTTATCATCTCGACTTCTAAATATGGAAGCGTTCTTGTATTCTGGTAGTTGTTTCAGCATAAAACAAGCCAACACTTCATCACAATGAAATGTTCCACTGTGTGTGCCTATAACAGGGACTTCACTTCGAAGACACTTTGATAAGTTTGTGGTTAAAATTTCGTCACTGTTGGAACACATCGTTTTAAAAATACACGGGGCAGAAATATGGACAAGAAGCTGTGGAGCTTAATAAATATTTGATTAATTGAAAAATGTAAGTTATTGTAGTTGTTTACCTTTTAAACAAATTCGTGCGGCAAAAGGAAAGATTCGGCACGTGAAGTAATTTGTTGACATTTTAATTTAAAGTGTTGCCAGCACCAAAAGATTTTAGAATTTTTACTTCGAGCCGTCGCTGCGTTGTCGGCTCTACAATGATCGCAACACCTCACTTGAACGCATTTTTTCACTTATCTTCGAGTTTTCACTTATCTTCGAGTTTTGTTTTAACAAATGTATGCATTATTCTTTCAACCTTTTGTTTCCCAGCATCGTAATATGATGGCGGATACTTGTAGCACCCTCCACTTAGTGGAACTGAGTGACTATCTCAACCAACTCATGATTTGGTTGTAGTAGCCTGCTAACCCCTCCTAGGAGTCATCGAAGTCTTTTAACGGAAGGTCCAGGGGCTATTTTGATGGGTTCAGACCAGGGAGAAAGAGATGTTAATGAATGCTACATGCAAAGATGTGGTTAACGTCTGGATTAGTTGAAATCAAGACGATTACAATATCAAAATCTTAATTGTGGCAGTATTACTCGGCCTCTCCAAGCAGCTTAAGCTTATTTTCTGTTTCTCACTAGTCCCCGAGTTCAAAATAGAAACAGCGTGATTTACGATTGACCGGCCAAATGTCTTTCTTTGCAAATGCATTTGTTTGTTTTTCCTCTAGGTGCCGCCCTCAGAGAGCATTTCTGGCTGAGGATTTCGCTGGTGAAGTGAAGAAATGGGAAAGTTCGACGAGCTAGCATGGATTAACAATATTCTGGCTAGATCTGATAGTAGCACCGCTAAAAGCCGTTTAACAGATCCATGGACTATTTAGGCTGCGGAGAGCTCCGTAGCGCCGAAGATGTAGGTTACTCAAAGTAAGTAATGGTGTGGAAAGCACAGCTGTCAAAGGCTTGGAGCGTAGTTAAGCGCTGGTCGTCTGTGCAATACACAGTAGAAATAATCCGTCAGAAGAGAGCTGGGGGGCTCAACACCAGCCCTGATGAGAAGGATTTGAAGCAATCCTCCTGCAGGGAGTTGCACCGTTGATGCGCTTAAATTAAAATTACCTGATGACCTAGCCGGGGTTAGGCCGCCGAAAGGGTGACAATTCTTGGCCAGATAAAACCCGGGTCAGCTCTATTACATAAAATCAGCTGTCGTATGGGCTCATAGTTACATCGTATGATGCTGTTACTTATTAGATATATATAACTTGCTTTCCAGAATCTTCTCTTCTTCTTTATTGGCGTTGGCACCGCTTATGCGATTATAGCCAAATTAATTATAGCGCGCCAATCATCCATTTTTTGCGCTTGTTGGCGCCAGTTGGAAAGACCAAGTGAGGCCAGACCACTATCCACTTGATCCTTCCAACGGAGTGGAGGTCTTCCTCATCCTCTTCCTCTGCTTCCACCGGCTGGAGTGATTTCAGAAAAGCACCATTTTTATAATACCAATCTATATCTGAAAAATTGTTCGTATAATGGCCAAGTGGTTAGCATTGCGTACTGTCATTTGGAAGATCAGAGTTTGAGTCGTGGTCCGACTCACATCCAAAGCGTAGAAAGCTATTTTAATCTAAAGATTACGTTAATTTTTCCAATTGCGGTCACTCCGCGGCGTGGAGTGTGTTTCTAACAAAAAATTAAAGGCTCCTCACCGTTCAGAAGCGGCTTAGTATAAACTGTGGAGAGACTCCATGGGAATGTCTCCAAAAACCGAGGGACTAGTTTGCATACAAACAGACGGACATGGCTAAATCAACTCCGCTCGTCATTCTTATTCGATCATACACATTTTGGGAGTCTCTCTTCTCTTCGCCTTCTGATAGTTGTACATATGTATTGTATGTACATACCTCGGACCAATGTTAATGTACCATTTCACGTTCATTCAAATATATAGCATATATATGTATCCGTAGTCACATTTTTTACAGAGTAAAAAAAAAAAAACTTAAAAAAAATGTAAAAGTGGGTAATCGCTAAGATGCTATTTATTGGCAAATGCAATTAACATGTTTAAACTAATTCGAAATCAAAGCATCAAATGACGGCATTATATTGTATATGGCCAACCAGACGCATTTGATGGAGCGCCTTTATTTTGCATATAAGCTTAAATATAAGTCAAGCCAGAGAATAGAAGTAGGCACATATCCACAGACTGGGATACATAATTATAACAAACAAACAAAATATGTTTAAAGAAAAACATACTCAGGTACATACAGATATTTTCCACAATCCGCAATCCGGTGTCCGGTAAGTAAATTTTTTGTTATTTAGTGCGCGTTTATTACGAAAAACGTTCGGACGTTCCGATTATGGTTGAGCAGAAGGTTTAAAAAGTGTTTTATAAAAATTCGTTGCTCGTTTCAAAAATATACTCGTATTGTATATGTGTTTCCAATATAATGGCAGAGTCTAGGTTAAGACGGAACTTAACTCATCATACTCCGAGAATGTAAGTTTTTACGTTAAAATATGTGTGGGAACTAATTTTGAATATGCATACATATGTATGTGAATATGTATGAAATTACAATAAATTGAAATGATTGTTGATTAAACAATTGAAATAAAATAAGTGGCATCTAAAATATTCACATACATACATATATACATATACATAGATGCTGAAAATGAATTAATGCAAAAAAATTTTTTTTTTATAATATTTTTTTTTTTGGAATTATGAACAGTTAAGTATGTGAAAATATCGTGATCGACTAGGTCTAGGACTTTAAAAGCTTGTATAAAAAGAATTGTGACTGGCGAAATTTGAAAAAGAAATATAAATATTTAATAGAGTATCCGGTAAACTTCACCTCGCTCCAATTCGATGCCTTTGGTTCAAGTCCAGAGTGAAAAAAAAATATATAAAAATATAAAATATATATACATATGTAGTTCAACTTCTAAGGTTAACTAAGATCGCCGATTAGTTTTTCCGCACAGAAACAAACAACCATTGTACAGTCTGTCAAGTAACCTAACCTAACTCCGTACAATGCAAAGAACACGGACCGATGATGCAAAATTCTTGAACCAATGCGTTAACATTGTTAAAAATTACCGCAAAAATGGTGATTCAAATGTTGCCAAGTTTCGTGCGGATTATGGTGCCTTAATCATTCAACTAATCAAGCAAATGGTAAATTTTCAAAGAAATTTGAAAAGAAACTGTGAAACTGTGCATTATCGTAAGGCTCATTCCATCTCAAATATCGCTAATGTAAGTGATAGTTTAGCCGAAGACCGGAATGTCTCAATTGCTCGACGTTCTCAAGACCATCAAGAGACTTTCTTATGTTACATTATGACGTATTTTGCACCTGCACTTACACCTACATCCATATAAAGTCCAGTTCACACAACAACTGCAGTCAGGTGACCATTCACAATGCCGTACATAAATCGATTGGTTGCAAGCAGTAACTGACGATATTTCTTGACGTTGTCAATTGGCCACCCAGTTTGTGGGATTTAACACCGTTGGACTTTATAACTCGAGAACCGAATAATAAATAAGATTTTCTCGTATAAATAGTAAATCAATCTCTGATTCACTTCCCGAAATAAAGTTAAATTTTTTGTTAAATACGTATAATTGTAAATATATTTAGTCAAATCGGTCTAGCTATTCTCAATTATTAATTAATTAACTTAATTTTCCATTCTGAAAATAATTTTCTCTCTCACTTGCTCGGCTTCTACGCTCTAGCTTAAATCGGAGGCTTCAGACAGGGTCATTCCTTATCGTATGACTTTTTTTTTAACTTATTGCTAGAGAAAATAATACGAGCTGCAAAGCTGAATAGAGAAGGTAGAATCTTTTATAAGAGTGTACAGCTGCTGGCATACATAATTGGTCTCAACAACCGCGCCGTGAGTTCTGCTTTCTCCAGACTGAATAAGGAAGCGAAGCGAATGGGTCTGGTAGTGAACGAGGACAAGACGAAATATCTCCTGTCATCACATAAACAGTCATCGCATTCGCAACTCGGATCCCATGACACTGTTACCAGTCATAACTTTGAACTCGTAGGTAATTTCGTCTATCTAGGAACAAGCCTCAGTAGTAATAACTTCAGCCTTGAAATCCAGCACAGAATCACTCTTGCCAACAGGTGCTACTTTGGACTGAGTAGGTAATTCAAAAGTAAAGTCCTCTTCCGACGAACGAAAACCAAACTCTACAAGTTCCTTATCGTTTCCGTTCTGCTATATGGTGCGAAAGCATGAACGATAACAACATCTGATGAGTCGGCGATAGTAGTTTTCTAGAGAAAGCTTTTGGCAACGACGAATATCACATGGAACGATGAGCTGTACGAGTTATACGGCGGCATTAATATAGTTCAGCGAATCAAGAAGCAGGGGCCCCGCTGGCTAGGTCATGTGGTCCAGATGGATGCGAATACTACAGCTTTGAAAGTATTTGAAGCAGTACGCGCCGGTGTACGCAGAGGAAGGGAAAGACCTCCACTCCGTTGGAAAGACCAGATAGAGAAGGACCTGGCGGTATTTCCGATTGGCGCCAAACAGCAAAAAGAAGAAACGAATGGCGCAATATTGTTAAATCGGCTAAAATCACATAAGCGGTGTCTACGTCAGTAAAGTAAGTAAGTAAGTTGAATCGGAGTATGATCCCATCTATCGGATTATGGAATGGACCAAGCAAATCTGGTCCGTGGTCCCAGGCCAGCTACGAAAAAAAAAATTGAAACCGTGGATAAAAGGTTTTTTTTCGAATAGATCAGTCTCTGGTTCACTTTCCTATGGGAAAAATAGATGTTGGCCGATTGTCATGTATCATCAAAGGACTTCTCGAAAACTTAAGGCACTTTCTTTGCGAAAGAGTCGGTTGAAGTCTCTAGGGGCAGCACCTTTTATAGGAGGATACATAATGGTATTACAAATGGCCCCCGCTCAGAAGAGCTTATACCCAGCAGGCACATTGACATAAATTAACCTAACTTATATCCAAATGGAATAGAAAACAGTGGAGGAAGAAAATAAACCATAAACAGAGAGCTTTTAATATTTTTTGTTTTTTTTTTATTGTCAATTACCATTCCTAATACAAGGAGAT